GATGTCCATCCATCCATTTAGAGCAGGGGTGTCAAACTCAATTTCATCGCGGGCCACATTAGCATTATGGTTGCACTCAGAGGGCCGGTTGTAACTTTAAGACTATATCAAAATACATAAATATTTAATATATATAAAATAATGTATTATATTACATTATTTTCCTCTGCATTTGATTATTATCGGATAGGGTAATAACTTCATAATTAACTACGTCTGAAAGCAGAAGTCAGGGGCAAATAATTGCAAGTCTCTTCAGTGAGAATGTCACAAAATGATTTGAAAAGAAAAGCCACATTCTGGAAAAAAAAGTCAAAATCCCAAAGAAGTACAATTTAAAAAAAAAAACAACATTTACAAAAACAATTCTAAGAAAAAAGGCATATTGAGAAGAAAAAAAGTCAAATTCTGAGAAAAAAGTCAAATTTGAGATGCATTGTGGGACATGTAGTTTATGGGTAACGTGCTTCTGTGAATCGGCATGTAACCGTATAATAAACATATTATTCTTTGCAAGCTCTTGTAGGGCCACAGAAAATGAAGTCGCGGGCCGGATTTGGCCCCCGGGCCTTGAGTTTGACACCCCTGCACAGTTTGAGCTTTCAGACAAATTCAAACATCCATCTAACATTTCCTCCATCATTTTGGGGATTTAACGTACATATTTTCATATAATCCAGCAGTGTTAGATCAGAGATTATTGAATACAAATCAGTGAATGTCTGCGGTGATGAATCTTCATAATAACGCCATATGGGCCACGAGTAAAATGAGTTACTGTAAAGAGACACACGTTAAATTAGAGGGTTTTAAATGTCACAAACAAACCAAGCCGTAAAGCAATAAGGCCTTTTCAGAGAAGAAACACATCATGAATATTATCTATCACCGTTTCTCCGCTCACAATCAGACACACGGTTTTTCTGTCAGTGCAACTTGATATTTCTGGATCATTCATAAATATCAACGTCAGATATCTACAGTATAGACAACACAAAGGAAATGTAATACATGCACGTCAACAAAGGAAAACAGTAATCAACATGTCCTAAAAGCTGCTGTGTGCGTGATTATATGGATATTGTTTTAATCACAATGCAGAGAGGAGTCCTCCTTTATCACTTCAAGATGATTTGTTTTCAATAGAAGTTCATTAGTGCCGTTTTAAACGTTCAAAGTGACATCGAGGGACCGTCTGTATTCAAAGCAGACTGCTGGGAACAAAACAAAAACAATTGAATTTAGTTAATTGGTGGAATCCTACTTTTCTGTCTGCATGTTTGAACATCAAGAGTTTAGTGAATGTTGTTAAAACTAGTCATTTTCCACTTTCTTCAGCTCCAGAAGTCTTTGTATTTCTCTTAATATTTTAAAACTGCAGCAGCTGATGTGCCACTTCTTGCGTCGGGAAATAATAATTGTCAAATATACCAAAAAGAAACCTCCACTTCCTCAGACCAATTCAAAATCACACCTCAAAACAAACAGATTTAATGTGTAATCTTGTGGTTTTAAAATCCGTATCTTTAGTTAAACTGCCTTGATTAAATATGGTTAATTAAAAAGCACAATTTGTCATTTTAAGAATGGGTAAAAGCCCCAGGATGCTTCATTAGAAACACTTAGAGATGGTCTGAAAGCGTCTGAAATACGCTTAAATCTGAGGGTCCTTATTATTATTATTGCAATTTAAGGAAAACACATTTGTAAGATTTGTGGGGGGGAAAACGATTATTTTCTTTTGAGTTCAACGTCTTTGGGTAAACACGTTTTTTTTGCCGTGGCTTGTTTTCGCAATGCTTATTTTGAATCTTTAATTTGGTGGTTTCCATTTCAAATCTCAGAGTCCATTTCTGAAAGAGTTCCAGAAAGCTGACTAATGATGAAGCATATTTGAATTTAAGAACTTTCTGAGGTCTTAAGGATTCATTTGTTGTTTGATTTAATAATACATCAATCACAGATCAGTGTTTTTGATTTGCTTTCTAACACCCTGACACTTTAAAGCTGGTATAGGCAGATTTGTTCTTGCATTATTTGGCAATAATTCATCATATTTTGCGCACATTGTCCTTCAAGCCAGTTAGGCAGTTTTCCGGAGAGGCAAACATTGAACGTACAGCCCTCCATCTGTCAAGCCCTTTGGGGATAACACGCTATGATTGAAGAATAAAGCGAACGGCAAAGCGTGCCACTTTCGCTCGTTTTTTTTCGGGGTTTCTTTGCAGTGCCAGTGTCGTTGCCAACGCATGAAAAGCCACTTAATCTGCAGGACTTTCCTCCGTTGAATCAGGCGTTTAACTTCGGAAATCTACTTTTGTTGAACAGCCAATAGGAATGCTTTCTCTCTGAAATGATGTGGCCAATTGGTCGCAGGCTAGATTTGATAAACCCTGAAAACAGCAGGAGTCTGATTTTCAAATAAGGCTTGAATTACAATATGCTGAGAGGTTACTGTGGATTCTTTTTTACTCAATAACGGTAAAAGAAACTCTGCATAACCCAGCTTTAAAAGTGTTGAAATGAAACCCATTAGCAGCCTCAAAGCGGTGATTAATTAACCTTGTCGACACATCATTAATACAAAAAGTGAAATTAATTTTGTTGGGATTTTACCCACTGAATTCTCAAGAGGTTTTAAGTGTCTTTGAATGAGCAGCTAATTGCTCTTTGACTGCTCATTGTTATTCAACAGCTTTTAAATTACACTAAGGAAACCAATCAAAAGGAAACGCGGTATAAAATCCACTTCCACTTCCTCTGTGTCTTCATGATTTTCAAGAAGGGTGGAAAATAAATCTTTGAAACAGGACATGGATATTTCTTCCCTGTGTTTGTGCAGCTTTTAAAAAATGTCGTGTCAGATGTGAGGAGAAGATGAAGGATGTTGCTGAAATCCTGTTCTCAGTTAAATTATGTGCAAGTATTTCCAACGAGTGTCCTTCATCGTGTCTTTGTCACAGGGCGAGAATGAGCCAAAACAAGGAGGAAAATGTCACAGAACAACAACAGTGGAAAGGAAAGAGGAAGCGAGTGGAAAAGGGAAGCAAGGACGAGGAAAATGTATGCATCCAATTTTTGTCTAAATTGACCTGGAAAGAGATGAAAAGTGCTTTTAGACGACGACAAACCTTTTTTGGTTGAGCTAACAGACGGAAATATATATCTACAGTAGAAACGAGACACAGACAGACCCACAGGGAGATCCCCCCGTCAACAATCACACATTTACTTATTTACATTTTTCTTGTTTTAGTAGTAGTAGTGTTCTTCTTCATTATTCTATTATCCGCAGTGTGCTCTGTACACAAGAAAAAGGCTCCTTTAGTCCCTCCAAAACTCTTCTTCTGTGGTGGTTAGGGGGAAGGGGAGGAGGAGGAGGGGGAGGGGGAATGAAGCTGAAGCAGTTTCCTGTCAGTGTCATCATGTGTCTGGAAGCTGGTTGATGTCAGTGAAGTTTGTGTCGTTGAGGAGGACTTTGATTCGCTCCAAAGAGTCCGCCTGTCGTATTCGCTCCAGCTGAACCTGCAGAAACGCACAAATAACTCATTATTATTCAATTAAAACACAACAATTCCCTTTGATTATCCCTTTGGTATGTCTCCTGTTTACTCCGTTATTCTAAGGCCCTGTTTACACGCAAACAAACACGATATCAAAAAACTCTTCCGTTCACGAGACCGCTCGAAAGCGCTGGAGACGCTGTAGTACATCTGCCGGGCCTGTAAGTGGCACTGCTGCCGCCACAAAATACACCAAAAGCAGTGAAGAAGACCCCCCCGAGCATGGTTGCCATGGTTGCCCTTCTGTTTATGCCCCGCGGTGGATTTAGCAACATGTAGTTCATGTAGCTCTCCATGTCCACTTGTTGCTGATGGTTGTGGTAGAGGAGCTGTAGATTTTGCATTAAAATCTGTAGCATGGTGAGTAGCTACTGACAGTAGCTACTGACCATGCTACAGCAGTGAGCAGCAGAGGAGGGGAGAGGCGGGGCTATGGCTTCATCGTTATCAGGGAATCATATAGGGCGTACACACGGAGACGTTTGGCCCCCCACAGCGTTCCGTCCACAGATCTATTCACCTTGGGACCCGTTATCGTTTGCGGGGTCCGTTTCCGCGGTTCCGTTACGGCCTCGTGTGAACGAACGGGCTATACGAAAGAGAAAAGTAGCGGATACAACCGTTCGCGTTCTCGTGTAAACAGCACCTAAGGCTTCGGATCAGAGCATTTCATTTCACATATCCCCACTTTGTCTCATGATCAATTTTGTTTTACTCCCCGGGTTTTACTCGTTGAAAACTCTGTATAAAAACATTCCAACCAAATCCATTTAAGCTCACAGACTAGAGGTGGAGAAGTAGTTTTACCACGGTGTGAAAACAAAAATCCTGAGTTTTTCTAAAGTAAAAGTAAAGATCAGCAAAATGAACTAAAAGAAGCTCCAGCTGAACCCGCAGAGCGCCACAAATAACTCATTATTATTCAATTAAAACAACAATTCTTTATTTGTCATTATTTACTTTGAAACGATTAACCCTTTGGCATGTCTCCTTCGGGTCAGAGCGTTTCTTTCCTTCTCGCCTGCTTTTACTAATTGAAATCTCTGTATACAAACTACAAAACAAAAACATTTAAGCTGTGTTTGGAATCAGCCACAAACTAGAAGTGGAAAAGTAGTTTTACCACGGTGTGAAAACACTATTTTACAAATGAAAGTCCTGTGTTTCAAATGCACTCAAAGTAGCTCCAGCTGAACCTGCAGAGCGCCACAAACAACTCATTATAATCCATTTAAAGCTCAAAAACACAATCAAAATGTTTTGTCCTGCCTTACATCACAGTTTTAGTTTGTAATACTAACAAAAAAATAGTCAAAATAATGTATTTTCAGTGTCCTTTTCCCCATTTAACCAAGGATGCATGCTATTGTTTCCTCTAACAAGTGGAATAAACATCTTGTAAACAAGCATCAGAATAATGTTTATCGCCAAGTAGGTTAACGCACACGAGAAATGTGTCTTGGTGTACATGGTTCATACATTTACAGTTATCTTTATTAGGATATCATCTCATCCTTAAAATATTTAGCTTTGTTGTTTTTCCACATCTCTTAAACACTCTGCTCCTGGTACTAGGATGGGTAAAAAGCAGAGAACAAATGTGACTGTGTGCATGAACATGTGTCCAATTCTATTCTATTCTAAACACTCCTCTCTCTCACCTGAAGAGTCTGAGAGAGTTTGACGAAGTCCTTCTGAACCTGCTCACTGACGTCCAGCTCCGTCTGCAGCCGCTGAGCTTTGTCCTTCTCATCCATCGCCTGAGTCTGGAGCGCACTCTGCAGGAAGTCAACACAACTAACACTAGATTACAGAGCCAGGTTACCTTGGTTGCTGATTGGCTAATGGTTACACAAGACAAAACATAGTTATGACATCATAAAGTGGCCAAAATCTGATCAGCTCATTTTCAGACAGGTTTTTATAGAAATGGATAAAAAAGAGAGAGAATCTTTGTTCCTGAAACTTTCAGAGTCTCTTTCCACAGAGGGGACACATGTTGATGTAGAAGAGACATGAAGAAGAGGGGACACATGTTGATGTAGAAGAGACATGAAGAAGAGGGGACACATGTTGATGTAGAAGAGACATGGAGAAGAGGGGACACATGTTGATGTAGAAGAGACATGAAGAAGAGGGGACACATGTTGATGTAGAAGAGACATGAAGAAGAGGGGACACATGTTGATGTAGAAGAGACATGAAGAAGAGGGGACACATGTTGATGTAGAAGAGACATGAAGAAGAGGGGACACATGTTGATGTAGAAGAGACATGGAGAAGAGGGGACACATGTTGATGTAGAAGAGACATGAAGAAGAGGTAAAATATCTATATATAGATGTTAGTTATAATTAAATATTTGTTTCTAATATATCATATTTAAAATATATGTTTTACTCAAATAGGTTTATCTCACAGCTTTAGTTGCTTTAATCTGTTTTAAATGCTAAATCTCAATTTTAAATATTTTGTTAGAATTAAAAGAAAAATACAAAAGATCTGATTTATTGAGGTATGAAGAAAAAATGTAGAAATTGTTTAAAATGTTTCATACGATTTATCATATTTTTGGAGATTTTTCTCCCTTAGGTTATTTTATGTTTAATGATTTTTTTATTATCATTTTCATGGCAGGACTTTTACTTCTTATAGAGTATTTTTACTTAAGGATCTGAATACTTCTTCCACACATACCTTGTAATATAAATCAATACGATTTTAGTAGTAGTGTTAAAGGTCACCTATCATGTTATTTTTAGGCAATAGCATAGGTCTCAGATATATAAAAATATATAAAAAACATGTCTATGAAGTGTTTTGCTCAAAATACCAAACAGATCACCCATTCTAGCCATGCATCATATCCCTCTATTTCACTTCCTGTTTCTAAAGTGCTGTTTTGGGGTATAAAGCTTAAAGAAATAGATTAGACAGCTACTGTCTAAACTAAATGCTGCCGTGATGAAACGCCATATCATGGATTATCAAGGATTATCTCTGAAACAGTATGGAGCTCAAAGG